TGATTTTGCAATGAAAATCTTTTTTTAAAAAAAATTATTTATTTGGGACTTGGTATGGTAGCCTAGTGGTTAAGTCCTCACCTTGCACACTCTGGGATTCCATATGGGTGCCGATTTGTGTCCCTGATGCTCCACTTCCCATCCAGCTCCCTGCTACTTGGGGGGTGAACAAGTGGATGGAAAATCTTTCCCTATGTCTCTACTTTTTTTCTGTTAAGTCTGATTTGCTTTTAGAAAGTCAGATTTACAGAGAAGAGGAGAAACAGAAAGATTTTCCATCCACTGGTTCACTTCCCAAGTGGCCGCAATGGCCAGAGCTGAGACAATCCAAAGCCAAGAGCCAGGTGGTTCTTCTAGAATGGGTGCAGGGTCCCAAGGCTTTGGACCATCCTCCACTGCATTCCCAGGCCACAAGCAGGGGGCTGGATGGGAAGTGGGGCTGCTGGGGTATGAACTGGTACCCATGTGGGATACTGGTGCGTGCAAGGTGAAGATTTAGCCACTGAGCCATTGCGCCAGGTCCCTGCATTGTACATGGTGGCGATCAGATTGTGCGGTTTAGCACCCTACTTTTAATCACTTGACACAAGCCTCATGTTGTGTTGTAAACAGAGCCCTCCATCAGAATGAGTACACTGCAATTTATCTATTCTAGTTTACTCTTTACAATTGTATTGATGTAACCTTGCCTTTTCTCTATATAATGTGAAGGGTATCTTTATGCATTAATAACCTCTGCATTTAGGATTCCTTTTATGCATTAATACCTCTACATTTAAAATTCCTTTTTTGGGCTACTTTTTTTTTTAAGGCTTTGACACATTTTTGCCAAATTACTTTTACAAAGAGGTTGTACCAAGGGATGTGCTGGCAGTTACATTAAGGTTCTTGGTACCAAACATGTTTTAAAACCATGGAGACATTTTTGGGAGAGAGGTAGAATTGTTAAAGATAATTTACTTACCTCCATTTGTTTTGATTTGTTTTTGATTTATTTTAAAGGTAGTGACAGGGAGACAGAAATCTTCCACCCACTGATTGCTTTCCCAGTTATCCCCCAAGAGCAGGGGCTAAGTCAGACCAAAGCCAGGAGCCAGGGGCTTTATCTGGGTCCTCCACGGGGGTGTTGGGGCCAAAGCATTTGGGCAAGACACCTGCTGCCTCACAATGCCTGCCCTATTAGGTTCTTCAGCTATATAAGATGTTGTCACTTTTTTACCTGGCCTTTTTGATGAAAGAATAAGACCCCTATGGTGATTATGGTAAACTTTATGTGACTAACACTCAGCTCAGGTTACAAACGGTTCCTCAGCCCCCTTCCCACCAAGTCACCTGCTCCCCTCCCAAGCACTGCCCTGAGGGCAGCCAGGACCCTGGCTTCTGGTGCAGTAGGATCATCTTGCCCGTTTGTAAGCTGTATATCCACACATGGCGTGAACTGTGTGTTTTGGTGTCTGACTTTTGCTGTTGGCACGGGACTGTGAGAGCTGCAGTGGTCGCTTGCTGTCTTTGTGTTCTGCTGTGTGGACGAACCACAGCCTCTTCTCCCCAGCCCTCGTCTTGAATGTACAGCAGCTGTGTCCAGGCTGGGCGGCTGTGAGCCCTCCAGGCCATGGCCTTTGCTGAACACTCATGAGCTTTGCTGTGGGACAGAGAAGCAGGACTAGAGTAGATGGCATAGGTGCTGTGTGTTTTCATTTACTTCACTTATTTGAAAGGCAGTATCACAGAGAGAGTAAAGGAGACAGAGAAGTTTTCATTTGCTGGTTTATTCTTCCAAAGGCTGCAATCCATCTGGGTCTCTCACGTGGGTGTAGGGGCCCAAGCATTTGGGCCATCCTCTGCTGCTTCTCCCAGGAGCATTAACAGGGAGCTAGATGGGAAGTGGAGCAGCCAGGACTTGAACTGGTGTGCATATGGGGGTGGCTTAACCCACTCTACTACAGCACTGGCCCCATTTTTGTATTTTAAAGATTATTTACTTCAAAAGACAGAGAGCGAGCTACCTTCCATCTGCCGATTCACCCCCTAAATGCCTGTAATGGCAGGACTGGGCCAGGCCGAAGCCAGGCTCGCCCTAGTTTTTAAAAGGTCTGACAGAAGGCAGTAAAGTCTGCAGGACAACACAGAATCCCTGTGGACTGGAGCTGTCTCAGCCGGGAGCACCTGCAGGGGCACTGTGGGAAGGGCTGCCCCTCTAGAGGCTTGCATCCAGGGCTGGCCTCGGGGCCAGGTAGGGGGCTGGGCCTCTGTTTCCCATTGGCCTATGGCAGACAGGCTTGGACTGCATGCTTTATTCCACAGTTTCTTTTCCTGCTCTTATCTTTGAAACCTCTTCTCCTCCCGAGACTTTCTGCTCTGGGGTCCTGGTGAGGTCCAGCAAGTCCCATCCCCCTCCTTTCTCTCTGTCCACCTCTTCCCCAGTTTACACTAAGCCATATATGACTGATGGAGAGGCGACTGCCTGGATGCAGCTCTGACGGGAGAACCACATCCCCCTGTCCTTGGCGGTCTAAGGGTCTCCACACACTCCCCAGGCCTCCTTGGGTCTTCACAGTGGCCCTGCTGGGCAGGTACACGAGGTTCCATTTCACAGCAAGTGCAGGGAGGTGAGGCACAGAGAGGGTGAGTGACTTTTGAAGACATGGAGCCAACAGGGGCAGAGTCTTGGTTAGAAAGCTCAGTTTGCTACAATAAGGCTGGGGCTGAGACTCAGGCTGGGCAGAGGCATGGGCATCCGGCAGGTTTCAGGGCAGCAGTGGTGGGAAGCAGCCATGCCTCTAAGCCTGGGGGAGGGGATTCCCCAGGGTCTCAGACCCCAGCAAGACCAGTATGTCCTGGGGAGGTGGGCAGGGAACTACCCCAGCCCAGTCCTGGCCTCCTGGCACGGTGGCTCTGGCTGGCTGGATATGGAAGGGGGAGTGGCTCGGGCACTTTGTCTTTCCCCTGTCCCTCCTGTCAGTTCTTCCTGGTAAATCACGGTGCCAGGAGAGCTAGAAGTGGTCCCTGGGCTTGTGTGTGAACAGGTGCATGGGGAGCTGAGGCTGCTGGGGGTGAGCATGCCCAGTGTATCTACCCTCACATTCCTACCAGTCCCTCCCCTTGCACCCACCCAGACCATACGCAAAGCCACCAGGCTCGCTTACCATGGCCCGGATGTCCTCCAAACAGCCATCCTCTGCCCTGCCACCCAGCTGCTGGGGTGGAAGTCCCACGTCCATTTTACAGACATGAGAACTGAGGCCAGCAGAGCTGATGAGAGGCCAAGCAGGGCCCAGTACAGGTCCTCTCACGGCAAAGCCAGCTCAGGCCCGGGTCAGGCCCTGCGCCCAGGCCTTTGTCAGAGAGACAAGGGGCTCCTTCTCCCCTAGCCCGCCCTGTGCTGGCACTGCCAGGCCCCAGCCCACCCCTCCTCCACCAGGGCCAACTGAAGCCAGATTGTCTCTGGGGGTACAGTGGGTGTGTAGGGTGCAGCTGCCAGGCAGTGGGGTGGGCGCCTGCAGGTCTGTGGGGCCAGTGTGTGTGGTGGCCGTGAGGGTGGCAGATAGGCCCACCTCTCTGTGGTGGCCCTGGGAAGAGGTCAGTGTGGGCTGCAGCTGCGTATGGAGGAGGGGGAGGGGCACCTGCTCCTTGCTGCCTGAGGGACTGCCTGGCTGAGAGCGACCGCTGGGACCAAGGCAGTCCCTTCAGCATGACCCAGGGACAGAGAAGGAAGGATGAGGAGGTGAGGCTGCCCATCCTCATGTCCTGCGTGCTTTCCTACTGGTCCCCATTCCTGGCCACGACCCACTGACCCCATAGCCTGGAAGCAGCCTTGTCCTAGCTCTGTGTCCCTAGCCTGGGCTTGGAGGCCACTGCTAAGGATGGGTTCTCAGCTGTGTCCCTTCCACCACAGGACACTTAGCCCCCTCATCCTGGGCCTGGGTGTCACAGTACCTGCCCCCCAAAGACCCTACAGGGGCCCTGGAAGGCTAAAGCACTTGGGCTGGTTCATCAGAAGTCCCCACCCCTTCACTCACTCACTTCTTGTGGGCCAGTCCCCAGCCCTCGGCCAGAGCCGGAGGTGCACTGAACTGCACAGGCAAAGAGCCTGCCCTCAGGGCAGCCTGCATTCCAGTGGGTGAGAGGCAACTGAGTAGAAATGTGGGCTATTTAAAAAGGGTGATAAGTGACATGGAGAAAAGTAGAGGGCAAGTGGCATGAGTCGGGGCAGGGAGGCAGGAATAGAAGGTTCACAGTTTTTATACGGTGGTGGGGATGACCACGTTGACATTGGTGTCTTGGGAGGGGGAGTGAAGAGGTGAGCTGTGAGGGTCTCTGGTTAAGAGCTGCCAGGCAGAGGGAGCAGCCCAGACAAGATCCAGAGGCCTGGGGCATGGAGGGATTGCAAAGAGGCGGGCAGGTGTGGCCAGAGCAGGTGGGACCAGGGAGACAGCAGGGGAAAGAGGCTGAAGGGGAACATGCAGTGCGGGCAGGTCACCAGGGCCTTTCGGGCCTCTTGACAACTTGAGCTTTTACTGGAAAGCTGGAGCCATGGAGAGTTTCGAGCAGAGGCGGGGAGTAGGACCTGACCAAGGTTTTAGCAGAATGTGTGCGATGACCACAAGTCAGATACCCATGTGGCAAGACAGGAGGAGGGAGGCTGAGTATCCAGAGGTCCTCCCAACCCAACCAGGGCAGAAACTGGGCTGGTTCATCAGCAGTCCCCACCCCGTCACTCACTCACTTCTTGTGGGCCTGACTGTACCAGGATGGAACCATGGCACCAAAAAAGGTGGGCCAACTGCTTGTGGCCAATCGCCAGCAATGAGAGAGGAGGAGAGACAGGCCAGCCATCAGGGAGCTGGACTCTGTGCCTTGCTCCGTGACCTGGAGCTGGTCCCTCTTCCGCCCCCCCGCCCCCTCAGTTCTACCCTACTCAGGTAGACAGGGTCCCCTGTCTACCTGACTAGTCCTGGTCCCTCCCAGGGATCTCACACACCTGTCCGCCTCCTCTGCAGGGAGCCAGCTCCAGCAGCCGCCATGGCGTCTCGCATCGGGCTGCGCATGCAGCTCATGCGGGAGCAGGCGCAGCAGGAGGAGCAGCGGGAGCGCATGCAGCAGCAGGCTGTGATGCACTACATGCAGCAGCAGCAGCAGCAGCAGCAACAGCAGCTGGGAGCGCCGCCCACCCCCGCCATCAACACCCCTGTCCACTTCCAGTCACCACCGCCTGTGCCAGGCGAGGTGCTGAAGGTAGGGCCTGCTCCCTGCCTCCCCAGCTGCTCGGGTGCCAGGCTCCCCCTAGAGCCACTGCCTTCTCCTCCCCCACCAGGTGCAGTCCTACCTGGAGAACCCCACTTCCTACCACCTGCAGCAGTCACAGCACCAGAAGGTGCGCGAGTACCTGTCCGAGACCTATGGGAACAAGTTTGCCGCCCACCTAAGCCCTGCTCAAGGCTCCCCAAAGCCCCCACCGGCTGCCTCCCCTGGGGTGCGGGCGGGACATGTGCTGTCCACTTCTGCTGGCAACAGTGCCCCCAACAGCCCCATGGCCATGCTGCACATCAGCTCCAACCCTGACAAAGAGGTAAGTGAGGGGCACCATGGCTCATGCTCTTGACATTCCCATTCTAGCTGGGGGAGGGACACTGCTTTTGGGAATCTAGTCTGAGCAGGGGAAACAGCTCCGTCCTCAGGGAACCCCTGTCTGGGTCGCGGGGAGACACAGCCTGGTCCAACAAGGCCTTATGTGGGAGGGAAAGAGCACCCCTCCCGGGCAGCTCAGCAGTGGGCAAAGCTGCAGTCAGCAGGTGTAGCAGGGGAGTTCCCCTGGCAGGTGGGCCCCCTGGGAATAGCCCTGGCTTTCCTGGGGCCTACGGGTGGTGGACAGCTCGTCAGCTCTTCCCCAAAAGCAGCAGGCTGCACATGGTGGCTCTGAGATCCCTGTGGCTGGCTCATCTTGAGGTGGACCTCTCTGTCTTGCAGTTCGATGATGTCATTGACAACATCATGCGCCTGGATGACGTCCTGGGCTACATCAACCCTGAGATGCAGATGCCCAACACGGTACTCCTGCTGAGGGCAGGGCCCACAACCCACTCACGGGAGAGTTGAGGACAGCTCCTTACAGCCAGGGCCTGGGGTCTCTCTGTAGAAATGGTTCCTGAGGCTCAGGGCTCAGCAGAGTCAGAGACCAAGAATGGCCTCAGGCTACGCTGTGCGAAGCAGGAAGCTGGTCGGGGAGCACAGATGGGGAGCACTGTGTCCATAGGAAGTCCTGGAGCGGATGGACTCCTCCAGGGAGCTCTCCCAAGCCCAGGGCCTAGCAGACAAAGACTCATGTCCCTAACTCAGCCCAGCAAGCAACCAGAGGCTGCCTTGCCCTGGGGTACACAGCCCCTTTCTGGCAGCCTCCTGGCAGCGTCATTGCTGTCTGGGTCTTTGGGGGGCAGAGGTCAGAGGGCAGGTGGGGACAGGACTGCCTAGGGAATCCAGAGGCCTTTGGCTTTCACCATGACCTTGAGGAGTCGCCCAGCTGTTGTGCACCCGTCTCCTTGGCTGCAGACTCAGGGTGTGGGAGATGAGACAAGACAGAGGGTGCACTTTGCTGTGAGTGGGCAGACCCACTGGTGCCTACCCCCTCTTGGGGGGCATCTTGCACCTGGGCTGCTTACTCCTGCTCTTTGTGCCTGATCTCACGCTGACTCCCAGCCCACACCTCCAAGGAGCCAGACTGTCCTTAGCCCCTGGAGCCCCTGGGTGAGTTAGCAGGAAGCCAGTGGGGACCCGTTGGATGCAAATCTGCATATCACAGGGTCAGCAAAGGAGGGCAAAATGGTCATATACTTGGCTGGTGCCCAGGGACTAGTGGGGACAGGTAGGGGACAGAGCATCTGCTATTGGCTACAGTGGAAGCTGGGCAGGAGTTTGCAGAGCTCCTGGCGGTCCCAGGTGGACTTCTGCTTAGGCCTCCACTGCCTAACCCCAAGGCCCAGCAGTGGTGTCACTTGAGCTGTGGTTCCCTCCCCTTCTTGTCCTGCACCAGGCCTGTGGCCGGCTGTCCCCTTCCTCCAGGCATCTTCCTCTGGACTCAGTCCCACATCCTCCTAAACAGCAGGGAGATAGGTGCCCCACCCTATGGCTCCCGGCCCACCTCAGCCTCCTCCCCTAGCCACAGTCCGGCCATCATGCTCCTTGAGGGCAGGGCTCAAGGTTCCACAGACCTGGCTTGCTCAGTGCTCAGGACCATGGAACCTGTCAGGAGCTCCCGGAGGAGAGGGGACCGCTCACCGGCCACTCCTGCCTCCCTGTGCTTCCCCACGCAGCTCCCCCTGTCCAGCAGCCATCTGAACGTGTACAGCAGCGACCCCCAGGTCACGGCCTCCCTGGTGGGCGTCACCAGCAGCTCATGCCCCGCAGACCTGACCCAGAAGCGAGAGCTCACAGGTACCAATGGCCTCTCCCCGGCCCGTGCCCATTGCCCCGCTGTGCCTTGCCCGCTCCCCCTCACCTGCATCTATCCCCCGGTATAGATGCTGAGAGCCGGGCCCTGGCCAAGGAGCGGCAGAAGAAAGACAATCACAACCTAAGTGAGTCCCGCCCTGTTCGTTCTCCCCGTGGAGCTCCATGCAATCCCCTGGGCTGGCTCCGGTATCCCTCCTGGCCTGCTCCCTAGCCCAGAGGCGGAGCCCTCCCACGGGTGCCACTTGGAGGGTGGGTGGGTGCTTTGGGTGGGGGGAGGGAGGCTAGGGGCTCCTAGGAAGGCCTCTGCCAGAACCCTTCTCTGGAGGGTGTGGAGTCCACACAGTGGGAGGGGTTTTGCCCTGGGATGAGTGTGGTGGAGGTGGGGCTTTGCTGTGCTAACAGTCTGGGGAAAGGGGTCTTCCTATTCCTGGCCCACCCCCCTAATTACAGTGCTGGAGGCACCCCCTATTCAGCCCTCCAGGTGGGGTCCCCACACCTCTAACTGCCCCCACCCTTTAGTTGAAAGGAGGCGCAGGTTCAACATCAATGACCGCATCAAGGAGTTGGGAATGCTGATCCCCAAGGCCAACGACCTGTGAGCAGACTGGGGGGAAGGGGAGGGAATACGGGCGGGGGGGGGGGGAGGGCAGGAGCCCCCTGGGTGCTCAGGAGCTCCTGCGTGGGGGATGAGGCCGAGGGAGGCGAGGTGGGGTTGTGTGTGATGCCTCCTGGAGGAGCAGGCCGCCTCCACTCCCTGGGGGGCAGAGAAGGCAGGGTGGGGCCCGGTGGCCGCGAGCCTGCATGTGTGACACTGCCACAGGGACGTGCGCTGGAACAAGGGCACCATCCTCAAGGCGTCCGTGGACTACATCCGGAGGATGCAGAAGGACCTGCAGAAGTCCAGGGAGCTGGAGAGCCACTCTCGGCGCCTTGAGATGACCAACAAGCAGCTGTGGCTCCGCATCCAGGTCAGGCCCCCAACCTGTCCCCTGACCCCTGGGTTCGCCCTGCTTGAGCAGGAGAATGGTGACACCGTGAGGGAGAAGTCGGGATAGGTCAGGGCGTCCCAGCGCCTGGGAGTGGCCGGTGTAAGGGGCGGGGCACTGCTGGGGCTGCCCCTACAAGCTGCAGGTCCCTCTGAAGGTGCCACTTCATGTCACTCATGCTTAGGTAATGTGGGGTATACACTACACCTAACCATAAGGGGCAGGAATGTGAAAGCCTGCTGTGTGCTGAGGTGACAGAGGACAGGACACAGTGGGGTGAGCCGTGGGGCTCCCCTCCCAGCAGCAGCCTAGCTTGTGTGCAGGGCTTCTGGTCTGTGCTTTCTAGGCAGGCCCTCCAGACAAGGGTGCAGTTGGCCCACGGCTTTTCAAGGTCCTGGGGTTTCCCAGCGGTCTGTGGAACAGCTGGTAGGCAGATGCAGGGCAGCTAGGCAGGCTCAGTGAAAAGATGGAGTCCCACAGAACAATCAGTCCTCACGCAGGGAGCACATTCTGATCCTTTCTCTCCCAGCTCTAGTCTAGACAAGTCTATTTCAATTAGAAAAGGAGCAAGCTGCTGGAGACTCAAGGCCGGGTGGTTTCACAACCTGCTAATAAGTTGTGACTTGTACAACCATGGACTCTCCCTCCTGCAGCAACACTACAGGGCCTTCCCGGTTCTGTGGTCTTGGTGCCCCCAGGGGACAGGCCAGCAGTCTGGCCCCTGGCAAGCCGTGCCCCAGCCCTCTGTCTTGTCCTCCCCTGTTCCCCGCCTGCAGGAGCTGGAGATGCAGGCACGTGTACACGGCCTCCCCACCACCTCCCCGTCTGGCATGAACATGGCCGAGCTAGCCCAGCAGGTGGTGAAGCAGGAGCTGCCCAGTGAAGAGGGCCCCGCCGAGGCCCTGATGCTGGGCGCCGAGGTCCCTGACCCTGAGACGCTGCCCGCTCTGCCCCCGCAGGCCCCACCGCCCCCACCCGCCCAGCCACAGTCCCCCTTCCATCAACTGGACTTCAGCCACAGCCTGAGCTTTGGGGGTGGGGCTGACGAGGGGCCCCAGGGCTACACCGAGCCCCTGGGGCCAGAGCATGGCCCCCCATTCCCCAGCCTGTCCAGGAAGGATCTGGACTTCATGCTTCTGGACGACTCCCTGCTGCCCCTGGCCTCAGACCCCCTCTTCTCCACCATGTCGCCCGAGGCTTCCAAGGCTAGCAGCCGGAGGAGCAGCTTCAGCATGGAGGAAGGGGAGGTGCTGTGACACCACTGCCCGCCCCTGTGCTGGGGGGGGGGCATGGGGGGCGGGCCGGGCCGGCCCCTCCCCCTTCAGGGTGCACCTGTGTGTGAAGTAGCCACCTGCCCCGCCTCATGCCTCCCTGTTGGCTCCTTGTTTGGACTTAGTGCCTGCCTGGCAGCCTGTGGGGTGAGGAGCAGACCCCCCCACACACACCCAGCCTGGCTCTGTGCACCCCTCCATATCCCCATGGAGCTGGGTGGGAACAGGAGAGGGCACATGGAGGGGACAGTGGGCCGTTCCCCTATCCCGGGGAAGGACAACAGCCATGGTGGGTTCTGGAAGCTGCTTTCTGAGGCCACCGGGGGTCCTTTCCGGGGCCCAGCCTGCGGCCAAACCGACCCCTGCCCACTGCCCTCCTCCCCGCAGGGCTCCCACCCCCCCTTTGGTGCTAACAGCTCTCCACCTGGTGGTGTGAGGGTGGGGGTGGCTGGAGGAGAGGGTGGGCGGGGCTCAGGTGAGAGTGGGAGAGCAGTCCCCTCTCGCCCTCCCACTTTGTGCCTTTAGTAAACACTGTGCTTTGTACCCGGCCTCATGTCTCTTTGGAGAGGGGTTAGGGGTTAGGGGTGGGAGTGGGGCAGGGGATGGAGGATTTCGCCCAGCGGCTGCTGTACAGGTAAGCAGTTCCCACACCCCTCGCCTGGGCCCCATCCAGGGGAGCTGGGGGCGCCCGTGCGGACGGGGGCGCTGTGTCTGCATGCGGCCACGAGGTGGCGCTGCGGCCTCGCTGTCCCGTCCCTCCGCCTGGGCCGGAGGAGGCGGGTGACGGGGTGATATCTCCCAAGGCGCCCCTCTGCTGGCCCCGCGCAATTCCTATCCTCTATCCGGGCTGCAGCCCCCAGGGGTCTCTGCCAAGCTTCTGGGGGCCCAGAACCTCACCTGTGATGGACAAGTGGGGTTGAACTGTGAGAAGGGTAACCACGGGCTCGTCCAGCTTTGCCTGGCTCCCCTCGCAGTGTCCACAGCCTCTGCGGCTAGAGACCAAGACAGCTTTCCCCTCGCTGGCCGAGAGGCTGAAGGAGGCTAATTAAAAGAAAATTCTTTTGAAGATGGCTAAGAGGGCAATTTCCTCTTTGCAAAAGGAGATCAAATCAACGCTGACGCAATTAAGAGGGGACTTCGCGCGCCTGGAATGGCTGGGGCTGCAGGATTAAGCTCAAGGTCAGATGGAGGCTGGATGACTTTGCGGAGTCCGAGATAGCCCTAACGCTGCAGCCTCCCTGCTAGTTCACCCCAGGTCCACCTCACTGCCCTAGACACGCCCCTCTCGGGGCAAGCACCCAGACTCTGGCTGGGGACACCAGGTGATGACCCAGGCTGGGGCTGTCTTTACAGGCAAAGCCCGTGCTATTTGCCCACGTGGGCTGGCCCTTCTCCCCGGGGATTCACTCAGAGGCTGACAAGACCGCTGCTGGCCCCCGCCCAGCCCTGCCCATTGGCTTTGTGGCCCCGGGACCTTCAGCGGGGTCACCTGCTGCGTTCGCGCCCTGGGCGCAATGGACTCGCCCGCGGGTGGAGGGTCTGCCCACCAGAGGGCGCTCGCCGCTTGCCGCGGGGTTGGGGGCCCAGCGGCCTTCTGCCCTGCTTGGGGGGCGCCTGACAGAGCTGCGGGTTAGGAGAGGGGGCGCCCGCGAGAGGGGGCGACCTCCAACACGTTGACAGGCCCCGGGAAGCGCTCGCGCCTCTGGCAGCAGCACGCAGGCGGCCTTGAACGCCTCCCGTGCCTTATTTGCTGAGGAGTCCTAAGCAGCTTGCCACATCCATGGGAGAGTGGACGGGCCTGGAAGCCCCTCCGAGGCATAACCGAAGTGTCACATGGGAGAGGGGTCCGAATTTGGGGTCCCAGCTAGGTAGCAGGTCCCATGGGAGCCCTCAAGCAGCAGCCACCATGGATGCCGGGAGAGGGGGCAGGAAGCAGAGGGTCCCGTGCTCACTGTCCTCAGCTCCAGCTCCTGTCCCTGCCTGCCCCCAGCCAAGCAGGGCCCGCGCCTTGGCTCCGGGAAGCACCTGCTCTCCTGCATCAGCGAGCAGGACCCAGGAGCACCCCCACGCGGACTTGCCCGTCATCCACAGGTCTGCAAAGTCAAGGAAGGATTCTTTCCTTGGGTGACCCGCCAATGAGGCCGATAAGAACCTGCATTCTGCTGCTGGTCCCTTCCCTAGACACGCGGCCCCTGCTGTGCACCTGCTCTCCGCCACCCACCCCGGCCCGCTGCTCAGCTACAGCTGCCCGCCCCTCTGTCCACCCCCGCTCGGGGTCCAGCCCCATCCCTCTCCGCCAGGCTCCTCTGGCCTCATCTTTTTTCTTTGCTTTCCCTTTTCCAAGGGGGGCAGTGGAATTTATACAATATTTAAGCAGCCAGCACCGAGTCCGGGAAGATATTATTAATGTAAAAGAGACGGGCTGCAAATGCTTTTGGACCTGGTTACAATTAGAGGGTGATTTTTCTAAAGGTCAATGAATTCAGATAATATCCACAGGGGGGAGAGAAATTTAATACCTTTTTAGTGAATTAATTAATTATAATATTATATCGGCTTGGGGTTCTTTTCCTGAGTGATTAAGCGAGTGATCCATCTTCTGCGAGGCCAGGAGGCAGCACCAGCCGCTGGGTCGCAAGGCTTGGGTCGGGGGTCTCTCCTCTCTCACCCTGGCAGAGGGGCAGGGAGCTAGAGGGGCCTTCCCTTCCTCCCAGGCCTCGCCCTTCCTCCTGCTGCTGGGTCACCATGTCTTAGACCACAGGGGTCTGCTGAGCTGGCACAGGAACTATGGCCTCACCCAGGGAGGCACGACAGTCTTCAGGGTGGCAGGGCTGGCTGGATCCAGGAGTGCGGCTGCATGCGGAGTCAGAACCCCCCAGGTCTTTGCACTTCCTTGTTCATTCCTTTGTTGGTGTATGAGGGGACTTCGGAAAGTTCATGTAAGAATAGATTAAATTATGCCTTTCTTGAGCCCAGCACAATGACTCAGTGGCTAAATCCTCAAGCAGCAGGATCCTAGATGGTTGCTGGTTCATGTCCTGGCTGCTCCACTTCCCATCCAGGTCCTGCTTTCCCAGGCCCTGCTTGTGGCCCGGGAAAGCAGTCGAGGACCACCCAAAGCCTTGGGACCGTGACCCATGTGGGAGACCTGGAAGAGGCTTCTGGTTCCTGGCTTCGGATCAGCTCGGCTCCAGCCGTTGTGGCCAGTTGGGGAGTGAAGGAGCAGATACATTTTTCTGTCGTTATCCTCTCTGTAAATCTGATTTTCCCTTTCCACATAAGTAAAACAAATGGTTTTAAAAGATATCTATCTTTCTTTTGTTACAAAAAAATGCAATCTATGGTTTTTTCATACTATGCATGTTCCATGAACTTCCCAGAAGACCCCTCATATGCATTGATTTCAATTTTTTTCCGCACCAAAATAAATATACCTTTCCCAGTCCATTTTTTTTGCATGAATTTTGAAGTCCTCTCACATTCAGTCGAATATTCATTCAACAGTCATTTGCAGTATACTCGCTCCTGCAAGGTAGCCTGTGGGGGGCCACGCTGCCAGGCGGAGGAGTGGTCTGTCCCAGACATGAAAGCCCAAAGGCGGCACCTGCAGACACGCGGGTGCCCTAGAAATGGCAGTGAGGATACGCGGCCTGGTGGCAGGGGCCGGCCCCCTCTGCTCCTGCCTGCAGGCCTGGGCCTGCTCACTGGAACAGGGTTCCAGGAGACCCCAGGTCTGGGCCAGCAGAGTCAAACAGGCCAGCACTTAATTATTGAAAACACTTTGATGTCATTTTTATTTATCGAATAGCAGAGACACAGAGTGAAAGGAGAGATGTTGCTGTGCTGATTCACCCCCAGAAGGGCAGGCCAGAGCCACGAGCTCGAAATTCCATCCAGGTTTCCCATGTGGGTGGCAGGGACCAAGTACTTGAACTGCACCCCAGGGTGCACGTCAGAGGGAAGCCGGGATTGGCATTGAAGAACTGATTCGAATCCAGATCCTCTGAGACAGGCTGTGGGCATCCCAAGCAGGCTCTTACTACTGTGCCAAGATCTGAGCTTAATCGCGGCTCAACCGTGGTTCACAGTATGATGGAGTTGCCTCCTGCCTCAGTTTCCCCACCTGTAGGGAGAGCCCGCCTCCCAAGATTGCTGTGGAAATTGAAGGAGTCACCCAGGCAAAACCCAGGCCCTGCCACGTGACTCCTTCCTGGCAGCTCAGATCCTTACCGGCCCTGGAGCAGGTGCATTGGGGCCCTGTTCCCAGCTGTGCCCTCAGTTCCTTTTCTCTTCCCAGAGCGGTGCCTAGGGAGGGCCCCATCTCTGTCAAAGAGACCAGCATTTCCCTCCCTGCTTGGCATGGCCCTACTTTCTGATTCCCGCTGCCCAGGCCCCTCTTCTGCCTCTGTGCCTGCCTCCACCCCGCCTGCTGCCGGGCCCTGGCTCCCCACCCCCCAGTCTCTCCTCTCTGTGTGCGGCAGGCCAGGGAGGGCCTTCCCATTTTACTATCTTTGGGCCCTAAATTAAAATTGATGACATCTTGAAATGAGCAGTGAGGGTAATTTTGCTTCTGAGCCGGGATGCTAATGAGGCCCCTTAATGGTTGGAGCGCTGCGCTGACGGGCCGTGTGTCACATGCAGCGGCAACGGGGGTAATGGCCGCGGTAAGTGCCCGTAATTACACCCTGTCTCGCTGTATTTTGGCAGGCCTGGTAGGGGAGCAGGGGCACCCCCACCCACTGGCAGGACTGAGAGCCACAATGCCCTCTCGGCCCAGCCGGGCCCCTTGGCTCCAGCCCCATGCTGCTCATGCACATGTAGTCACACCAGGGTATGCTCTTCACCCCTCCATAGCGGGGACACATGCAAACACGCGTGTCTGACAGTGTCGCCCACAGAGGTCTCTCCTGCACCTCCGCCTCTGTAAACACTCCCACTCACAGCACATACACTCATACACACACTCAGATTGCACCCTGGCCAGCAGGGCCTCCCGTGCCCACCCCGCCTGTGAGCTCTAACCCCCTGCCTGGCTGCTGACAGCCACCTCATTAGTCTCATTTGATGACGCAGACACTCGCCAGCGTGTCCCCAGGTCACGTGGCTAGGCTGCCACCCAGGCCACCTGGGACTCAGGTTGAGTGTAGTGCTGGCTGTCTGCTTGCCCTCGCAGCTCAAGCTGCAGGACCCTCTCTTGTCTCCCCCTCCCCTGGAACTCACCACTGCCCCACACAGGCACAGTGCCCTGTGCTGCTGCTACACCTGAGAGCGGGGCCTTGCCTGCACACACAGACATGCTAGGTGGGGTCCCGTGAGGTGCTCCCCTGACCCGACACACAGAGGAGGAGGAAACCGTGACACTATGAGGAACTAGGCATGTGGCCGCTCTTGGATGTTTTTAAAAAAGATTTATTCATTTTATTTGAGATTCATTTTATTTTATTGAGACAGGTTTACAAGTAGAAAAGCAAAGACAGAGACAAAAATCTTTCATCCGCTGGTTCATGCCCCAAATGGTGGCAATGGCCAGAGCTGAGCTGATC